TTACTATAAACATTACACTTTTAACCCACCTCTTACATGTTTACTATAAACATTACACTTTTAACCCACCTCTTACATGTTTACTATAAACATTACACTTTTAACCCACCTCTTACATGTTTACTATAAAAATTACACTTTTAACCCACCTCTTACATGTTTACTATAAACATTACACTTTTAACCCACCTCTTACATGTTTACTATAAACATTACACTTTTAACCCACCTCTTACATGTTTACTATAAACAGTACACTTTTAACCCACCTCTTACATGTTTACTATAAACATTACACTTTTAACCCACCTCTTACATGTTTACTATAAACATTACACTTTTAACCCACCTCTTACATGTTTACTATAAACATTACACTTTTAACCCACCTCTTACATGTTTACTATAAACATTACACTTTTAACCCACCTCTTACATGTTTACTATAAACATTACACTTTTAACCCACCTCTTACATGTTTACTATAAACATTACACTTTTAACCCACCTCTTACATGTTTACTATAAACATTACACTTTTAACCCACCTCTTACATGTTTACTATAAAAATTACACTTTTAACACACCTCTTACATGTTTACTATAAACATTACACTTTTAACCCACCTCTTACATGTTTACTATAAACATTACACTTTTAACCCACCTCTTACATGTTTACTATAAACATTACACTTTTAACCCACCTCTTACATGTTTACTATAAACATTACACTTTTAACCCACCTCTTACATGTTTACTATAAACGCCCCTAGATATTGACCAATATTTTGTCTGAATCAATCAAAACATGCTTGGTATATTGCACTGTCCCTGACACATATCATATTCTGATATAAAAACACACTTGACAATACTATTGATTTCTGCCGACTTCACTACTAATGTATACCTGTGTAAAATCAACCCTTGACAACACATGTTGCTAAATGAAATCCCTTCTAACAATACAAAAACTCTCTCGTCTCATCAATCATGATTTCAAGTCAGTCCTGACTCTGAGTTTAACCACTAATCAAATACAATAAAGGGACAAATGAATAAAAAAAAAGACTTGTAAATTCTCAACATACGTGTTGTCATGGCAACATCAAAGCTGTGTATTCAAAGAAAATTAATGTGATGGAGTGAGTACATGTTCTCAGTAGGGGGTAGGAAAGGGAATATTTGTCATTGTATTTTATTAAAATTAAGTTGACCTGGGATGTGCCTGTATGAATTGTGTTAACAACAGAGAGCTTTGAATTTTTTCCTTTTTTGCATTTACTAGTTTGTTTGTGTATGTGCAGTGATTCCACCTTTGTCAATTGAGAAGTACATGCTTGTAGTATTTCCCTACAAATACTGATTAAACTATTATACATTATAAATTTTATCATAATAAATAATTTTGTCTTGGTGTATTTGTACCAAAATCTGAAGAATATTGTTATGCAGATTTATTAGTTGTGCTATATCTATATTATCAGATGTAGTTAATTTATTTTTTCAAATAAAATAAAAAAATAATAAATGCTTTGTACCTAAATTAATTTTCATAAGTTGATTATATTGGTACTACTATTTATTGTAAATTTAATAATGAAAAATGAAAATGTTCACCTAATATGCCATGTTTTACTACTTAATTACTGGTAATATGCACTTTTGCAGTAAAGGATTATGGGAAATCAAGCGAGGTCAATGTTATAACCAGTGTAATTGAAGTGAAATGTAGGTAAATCACATAGAGTAGATCATTTTTATTTTTTTGTGTACGTGACAGATCCGAACATTGAATGTCGCTATTGTCTCTCCTGACTTTTTTGTTCATGTTTGAAATTACAATTGCTGACACAGAAATTATATTTATGTTTGGGACTGCATGACAGGGCTTTGTGACCATCTCTCTATCAAATGACAATTTATGCGCTATCCTAGCGTCACCCAGCTCGGTCAAACACAAGTACCTGAGGACACCCAGGTCTATTAGTAGTAGTTTTAGATGTAAAAAAATATTACAACTAATAATAGTGAGAATATGGGATTGATAAATAAATAAATCATGTCGGGTTACAATTCAGCATGTAAAAGTATGCTCCTTAAGGATCCACTACCCGATAATTTTGATTGATAAAAATACATCTCGTTACTAGATATTATTTCTGTTGGCTTCTATCCATCAAATTCAATTGTGTATTCTAAAAGATAAACAGCCAATTGGCTTTCAGTCTAACTGTATTATTTACTACTAAATGAATCACCATGGTTACCTATATAAATAGGCGTGCTTTTACACTGCCAGTAAATTTCTTATAAAAAAAAAGCAAATAAATTATGTTAATGAGGTAGCTATGAAGTCAATCAGTCAACGTCATCTGATAGAATGTACAATGAAATGCCTGAAGAAAATAAACTCCCACAATTCATCACAGTGAAATAATCACTTTGCAGTGATGATTTTCGTCAAAGTAAGTCGAGTCACCAAGCTATGTAGTAATATATCGCTTCTCTAGTTCATACTTGTTCACAAAATCTTCTCTCATGTACACTCTGCATTTTTATATTTTTATTTCGCTTGTAGCAGTGACAAATTGTTGATACGCGAGACACGCAACGCAGGTGAGTAAAGACTCTCATCGTTTTCATTCATGTCTTGTTGATTAATTGAAATGCTTTTTCCTTCATATTGTAATTAAGAAGAGACGACACTGGATATGTTTCTCGGAGCTTCAAGCTGTTATAGCATCCATCTTGTCACAACCCTTACCTGGTGTCGGTGAATTTAGCGAGTACATTGCTATCATCGTCAGACACTGAGAATGGGCATTAATGACCACTATGT